TTCGAGTTTAGATTTGTTTGTACTACATTGCCATATGATAAGTAACTATTGATAAATGCAAAATATAGCTGAGTTAGTTTAGATTTGTCTAAGATTTGACGGGTTTTATATAAAATACCAATATTTTTGGAGATTTTATTGCGAATATTTAATATGATCTCTCCAGGGTAAGTTTTCATCTATTAAAACACCAAGTTGTTTTTTTGTGTAAGAGCGCTTAGTTTTGATGTTATCTATATATAGCATTGCTAAGGATGTAGGAATATATTGAAACTTTAGTTTAGAATGGAATAAGATATGTTAGAGTTAAGCCAGTTTAATATTTGATCTAGTTCTTTGTTTGCTACTTGAAATAGAGAGATAATGTAAGAATAAAATAAAGTGGTGTCGTCTGCAAACATGATAGCAGACATAGTATTTTGAAGTGTATTTGATGCTCTATATAGATTGTTAACATAGATTAAAAACAGTAGAGGACCTAAAATGGAGCCTTGTAGAACTCCACATAATATTTTAAGTTTTTTTGCTTGAAAACCGTTAGATATATAAACTGTTTTCGATCAGTTAAGTAACTGGCAAACCATTTATGGTATTCGTATCATACTTCATAATATTTTAGTTTTTCTCAAAAAAATATGATTATTAATGGTGCCGACAAGTCTAGGTATATACCTAAATTAAATTTATTATAAGAAGATGCTCCGCTGATAATTACAACTAGTTGTATAAACGCATGCTCCGTAATTTGATCAAAAACTATATTGGTTACAATAGAGAAGATTGTTTTCATTCAAAATTGCAAAAGTCCTGTTATATAAGATACGCTCAAAGATTTAAAAAAAAAAGGTACGTCGATATAGGTCAATAATTTGTAACCAGACTTTTATCTCCTATGACAAGACATTAAGCATTTCTTTTGGCACCTAAATAACAAAAAAAAAAAAATAATAATATTAATAAAAAAAGAAATACATTTAACTCGTATATATTCAAAACTCTCATTTCAATAAAATAATGCTTTGTATAAGAGAAGCAATTTGCAAAATTGATTATACGGATTGCGCGCTTCTGACAGAGATAAAGACGTTGCAACTTACTTTTTTCTGTACTTCCCGAAGCAATATTGGCATAATTTAAATAACTATGTTTATACGAGTAATAAAGTAGAATTAAGACTTTCTTATTGAGTTAGATTTGTGATTTATATGTTTTTTGAAATTTTTGTGCTTATATAATCAATACGGTGATTCCAAGTAATGTTTTCATCAAGATAAACACATAAAAATTTTGTAAAAAAATCTTTTTATTTCCTTTTGATCGATAAAGATTCGAGGTAATTTTAATGAGAAAAACCGTTTTTTTGTAATCGAATGAAATAAAACCCATTTTGTTTTATTAGTATGCAAGGTTAACTTATTACACTTGAACCAATTAGATATATGCCTGAGTTCTTCGTTCACTGTTAAAAAAAAAGTTCAGCGATATCATCGTTAGAAAGGAATAATTTTGTATTATCTGCATACATAATGCTTGTTAGTTTTGAAGCTTTATTTAAGTCATTTATATAAATTAAAAAAAGGAGAGGCCCAAGAATTGAACCTTGTGGGACTCCGCAGGTTATATTAAGAAAAGTGAGTTGGTAATCATTGTTAAATGGTACAAATTGCTTTCAGTTAGATAGATAACTTTTAAACCATATTAAAATTTTATTTTTTATTCCGTAGTATTTGAGTTTATAAATTAAAATATGGTGATCGACCGTAGCAAAAGCTTTTGATAGGTCAATAAAAATTCCTAGTTTATATTGTGATTTTTCGAACGATTTTGAGATTTCACGTACAAATTGGATAATTGCATGTTCAGTTGAGTTATCTTTCTTGAAACCAAATTGATTGATGTAAAATAGATTATTATCATGAAAATATTTGCATATTCTGTTGAACATAATTTTTTCTAAAATTTTCGAAAATGAGGAGAGAGCAGAGATAGAGCGATAATTACTGATTTCAGATTTGATTTAAAAATAGGAATAATTTTTGCAATTTTTAATTGTTCTGGGAATTCTCCTTGATGGATAGAAGCCCTAAATATTTTAAAAAGAACAACTTTAACTGTTCAAAGCAATCTATAATCACGTTTCCATTAATTTGATCTGCTCTTATTGCTTCATTTTTTTAACAGATTTAAAGGCTCTTTCAAACTCATCAAACATTAGTTCGGAAGATAACTCATCTCAACAAATGCAATTATCCAGGGGTTCTAGATAATCAGTACACAAAGACTTGGTCTTAGGGATTTTTTCAGCCAGTGTTGGTCTTATGTGAGTGAAATATTAGTTAAATTCTTGAGCTATAGTTTTTGGTTCATATAAACTTTTTTTATCGACTCTAACATTTGTGGCAGGAAACCAGAGCATGATTTTTTTTGCCAATAATTTCTTACATTATTTGCCACGTGCACTTTGTGTCGTTTTTAAATGTATTGAATAATTGGGAGTAATAGTTTTTCCTTAGAATTTTGCGAATATTTTCAAATAGGTTTTTGTAGTTCTTATAAATTTTTCCGCTTGAAGCTGTTTTTGTTTAAAAAAAAATTTATATATAACTTTTGTTTTATTCTGGATGATTTTTTAAAACCTTTAGTAATCCAGAGTATATTGATATAGTTGATAGTTGTTATTGTTCTTTCTACTATTGAGAAATTAACTTCATAACCAGAAAAAAATGTCTTGAAAAAAGTTTTATATTATTTGCGTTATCATCAAAATTTGTGTTTTTCCAATGCAGTAATGATAGTTGGTCTTTAAATAATTTAATATAAGTGTCATTAAAAATGCATTTTTTTATTACTTTTTTGGTATTAATGTTTCTTTTGGGTTTGATTTATTAAGCTTCAGCAATATAGGAAAATGATCTGATATATCAGTTTTTATGATACCTATTTGTGTATTATTTTAGAAAATATCAGTAGTTATAATATATATATTTTTTAATATTTTGCCGTTTTATATTACAATAATTAAACAATTTTTTATTTTACAATTTTTACATTAGTAACGACAGGACTTCCAGAAGATCATGAGGATCTTGTCATGAAGCCCTTAATACATTTAAAACATTCATTTCTTTAAAAAGTAGTTTCGTATGAAAAAAACGATTATTAAAAATTATCATGCGAGTTGCGTGTTTCTGATGAAATTATTACTATAAGAGTTACTTACATTATATAATAATAATATATATATTATCTATAAGAGTTGCTGTGTTTATTGTTACTCTAGTAGGTCGATTTATTATAATAACTGACTCTGTTTCAAAAATTGCGTCATAAAAATTCTTAATTTTATGGTCGTCAGTGTAGATAAAACAGTTCATATTTAAGTCTCCGACTATATAGTTTTCTTTTTTATTATTGGTTTCTTTTTTAATGGTTTGTTGTAAAAACATGCTCAGGTTTTCGCTCACGCCGCACTATGCGTCGCGAAGCGGAAATAGGATTTAAGTTACTTTTCTGAAAAAAAAAATAATTTTATTTTTTAAGATATTTTTAAACTGAAACAAGTTAGCATTAGTTAAAAAAAATATTTATTTCAAATTTTTTTAAATTTGTCTTTTTAAGTGCGGGATTTTCAGGGGTAAAGAAACCCGGGTTTTCACTAAATTATTATATTAGATACGATAATTTCCGAATTTCCTCTATTTTTTTGCATATTATCAAATAAATGATACAATTAAAAACCAAGATAAGAAAAAAAAAAAAAAAATGTTTGGGATATTGCTTTTGTGTGTCCCTAAAGATTGATTGATTAGACCATGCTACTACAGAGGTAGCCAGTTTTTTATTTATTACAAATTTTCTACGAGAAATAGACTTTTTAGAAGTGAAATAATATACTGGCTACCTCTGTAGTAACATAGTGTAATATCGATTCATTGTAGTGGGTTTTATTAAAAACCGGTTAGTTAATAAGTATAAAAAACAACATTAGACGCGGAGCGGTACATTTATTCTAGAGCGATAAGTTATAACTTCTCAGTTAAGAGTGGTATAATGTTTTAAAATGTTTACTTTTCAATCTCAGCAAACTTTTGTTTGATATTTTTCCTCCTAGGTATATTTTTACAAGTAAAAATTTATTTTTGCAGTCCACATTTTTATCACTAGGATAATCGCGTTCTATCGAACTAGAGAGTGATGATTCAAGACTATTTTTTATTTTTAAAAAGTAAAGCTAAAACATATGAAAAATGTTTGCAACTTGTGAATGGAAAATCTTGGTTTAAAACTCCGGCTCCGATAAACCTCCGTTATATCCTTAATCTATATAGTATTTTAAATCTTAAGTATATATATCATAAATGTTTATTAATTTTTTAAGGTTTCGATGATAAACTCCTTATGATCTTCATTCAGATAAATATTTTATATTTTAGCACATAAACTGTTTTTTGTAACCTGTCTTTTTTATTTTATTTTACTATATTTATCACGACTAATAAATATATCAATAAAAAATTACCACTCATTATCCATTAAATTTTTTTTCTTCCCAAAACTGTGATAAAGATTTTGAAAGGCTTGATTCAAGCTAGCGGTCATCGGTGTCTATATGGAATTGTTTGCTTCTTGTAAAATCTATTTCTTCTTTTTAGGAACGTAGCTCATTTAGTGATGACTGCCATCGGATCTTCGAGCTGCTTCACGCTATGAAACTGTATTGATAAGTTTTCTTATCTTACAAAACAAGCGATTAGTTACTTTCTCCGTTTCAGACTTTTCTGTTTTGATATAGTATATACAATAATAATAATAATAATAATAGTAATAATAATAGTAATAATAATAATAATAATAACAACAACAACTCAATTGATTTAAGAATAGTAAAAACCTTTCAAGCAAAAGGGTATTTGGTTTTGGTTTTAATATAAGCATAACGTATAAATATAAGCCCACAAGTCTAAATGTTTCACTTTAATTTAGTCACTAAAATTTAATTATTTATTTACATAAAATATATTAAAATAATTTCATTAAAATAAACCTTTCATAGTGTAAAAATTACGATTGAGAAATATAAAATTTAAAAAGAAATTAGTACAATAAGCTCCTTCCATGTTTTAGCAAATAAAAATATTTTTAAACAAAAATATCTTTAAATAAAAAAACAAATTTTGATACGTATCAAAATAAAAAATAAATTCAAAATAGATAAAAAAATTGTAACTGTTTTTAAAATGACAAAATAAAAAAATAAAATAAAACACAACTCATGCTAGCTTCCACAACATGCTCCATTGTACATCTGCAGTTTGATGTCATACAATTCTACTAACTCTGATACAAATACCCTATCACTACGAGGATCGAGACCCATTTCTTTCATATGATTTGAAGTAATTGACTTGTCTTCTTGAGAAGCTACGCCATAAAGAACTTTAAATATTCTATTATTTTGTTCGATAAAAAATCTACAAAAACAATTCTAAAATTAAAAAAAATTATTCAGGGGGTGTGAAATTGTAGCATTCTTTCATAAAATTAAAACTTTATTGTGGAAACTAGTTATACATTCAATGTTCAAATTATTATCTGTCGCTAACTACTAAATTATTATTCGTTACAAACAACCAAATTATTATCCATATAACCATTATCTTTTCCAAACTTTCTTTAACAGCCTACAAATTTCAAAGACAGCACGTAGTGACCGGAATTATATGGTTTTTTTTTTAGGTTACTTAGGGGCTCCTTACGGTCTTATCAAGGAGCACCGCGGGAGAACATTTAACTAGAAGTTCACGCCTCTTTCCTTACCAATGTCGCTTATTGGGCTAGAGCCGGGGTTGAACTTCGGACCTCTGGGTTCTAAGCCAGAACTCTAACCACGGCTACACGTTAAATGCTCATGTACGCGTTTATACACGCGATAAATTTTTAAAACGCGTTAAAAATAATTTTAATAATCATATTAAATTATTCAAAACAAAATAAAACATAATAATACAATTTTTATATTTTGATTACAATTGTATTATTATTCATAACTTCGTTGGGTTTTATTTATTTCAGTATTATTTCCATTATTATCACATTCATAACTTGATTGGGTTACCCAGGATAATTTTTATACAAAAGATATGGCTAATATTTATTCTGACAAGAAGGTAAGAAGACAAAAGACAGGAAGGTAGTGCATCTGATTCATCATAATATTTAACCTTTAGTTGAAGTCTCAAGTTTCTTATCAGCATAATAAGACTTTGAAGTGCATCTTTCAAATATACGCTAATTAAAAAAATTGGTATCTTGGAAATAGAAAAACATTAGAAGTTTGTGTACAATAGAAGGTAAGACGTACCAGTCGTATGTACAAACGATTTAAATCAAACTTATTTATATTTATGGGATTGTACAAAATGGAAAAGTGTACAAAAGCTCAAAATGAGGTAAATCACTTTTCAAAATACCAGCATTTTTTACCTTAAGCAATAGAGACCTACGCCCTGAACTAAAAAACTTTTATCATGCTTTTGTCCTGCGATTATTTATCAATTATTTATAAGAATAACTGCTTTACTTTGATTTGAGACACAATGAAAACCAATATTTATATAACACATATTTGTCTGAACTGCATCAAAAATATCAATCATATTTGAAAGAACTTGAATTGAAGGACAGCATTTTTCTCTCCAAATATTGTGCAAAGTGGACAGCATTCGATAAACAATGTTTGCCCATAAACAATGTTTATGCTCTGTTACAGTGTAGCAACTTCAAACTAAATTTCCTTGAGCTTTTATTTTTTCAAACTTTTATATAATAAATTAGCAGTAACAAGTATATTTTGATGTTTTATTTAAGTAACTTTAAGGAATGGTACTCTATATTTTTATGTGTTCATACCGGTCTCAAACAAAATTAAATTTTAAAAATTACAAAGTCATCATTTTAATTGCATTTAAAACTTCTATAAGTAAAGTATGCCTAATTTAAGTAAAAAGTCTCTTATATCATTCAATGTTTTAAACGTGTTAAAATAAATAGCCACACTTTAAACAGATAAAAACCGGACTTAAGTATAAAATATTTTTTAGACCATAGATTTAGTATAAAGTATTTCTTTTTTAAAAAGTTGAAATGCAAATGGTAAATTTAAAAAAATATAGCATAAATATAAACTTACAGTTAAAAAAAAATTGTTAAAAAGTTAATGATTATACCTTATATACATAACTTCATCATCTGTAACTTCCAAGCCAGAACTAAGTTGTTCTTCACTAAACATTAAAAAATAACACTTTTTTTTTCAAATACTGTCGCCCAAAAAAATTAAATCAAATATTTAATATTTTTTTTTTTATTTAAATGAGTTTTAAGGCGGATTTCCGCAGAAATTTTCCGCGGAACGGGACGGAAAAGACAAGAAAACAGTTTAAGCATGCGCATTAAAAAATTTCAGTCACAGTTGGAAAATTTTCTTTTCTTTTCCGTTCCAAAGCACATACACACACACATACACACACACACACACACATTTATATATATATATATATATATATATATATATATATATATATATATATATATATATATATATATATATATATATATATATATATATATATATATATATATATATATATATATATTCATATATATATATATATATATTATTTAGTATGGGTTTACAGCTAAATAATATAAAAACTATAAGGTCTGATAATTATTGATTATGGTCTGATAATTATTGAATTAAATTAAGTGAGCGTTTTTAGAAAACGATGAGGGAAAACGAAGAATAATGAATGAAAAGGTTGCTGACCCATACCAAACCCTCAGTCGATGTAGCAGCACTCCACTGCGAGTCAGGCTATTTGTCAGTCGATGTATGCACTGAAGCCCCCGGCAGCAGGCTATTTGACATTAGGTGAGTATGACATCATCATGCTCACCTAACTAAGCAGTATAAGATATAGACGCACTCATATTTGAGTATAGAAATTTTTAGTTTTTTAACAATAAAACAATAACGAAAAAAGATTTTGGTTTAGTTTTTTTTTTTATTTATTAGATAAATAGATACAGAGTACAAAATTTACAAAAATTTACAAAAAAAATACCAATACTATTAATATTTAGGTACAACTACATGGTAGTAAAAAAATAAGACAAAAAAAATTATTCATAATCTTAGACACACGATATATTAGGAGGCTAATTTATGAACCAATCAATATTTTGTGTATATGCCTATTGCTTTAATACAACTAAGAACTCTTCTGAACGTAGACTCAACAAAATTTTTGTACATCGTTTCTGGGACCCTGGGACCAGGTCTATACGTAATTTTTAATATCATAAGTATCATAAAGTTATATTAGTTTATAAAGTATAATACATAATATAATTTCAGTATAATACTGTATATATATATTCTAGTTATGTGCATTTATGTCAGCATGTATAATAAGTTAAATTTCATAAAAATCTGTTAGTTTAAATTGAGTTTATTTATTTGTTTTATGAAATATTCAATATTATGTTATTTTATTAAATATTTTGATATTTGTTTAGAAATCTTTCAGATCTGATTGAAGAAATCAAGTAATACAGATGTATATGGGATATTTCTTGTAGGGCTTATAAAGAGCTACCTAAAAAGCAAGAGGCATGGAATATAATAAGTTTGAAATTAGGCATCAAGGGCATGTGAATTTTAAAATACTTGTTTATTAATTATTTGTTACAAATATTCATTAAATTATTCATATCATTATTAAAACATTATTAAATTAAAATATGAGTGTTATGATATACTTGGTATACTTATACTTGGTTGTAAGTTTTAATAATTTCATTAATATTTATACATGTTTTCATGTTTGTCAAATTTATATATTTTATACATTCATACACATATTTTACATATTTTAATAGACTTTGTTTATTGTAACCAATTTCTTTTATTTAAAATGTTTCAGTTAAAGATGCTCAAGTGGAATGGAACAAGTTGAAAGAAAATTATAGAAAGTGTATAAAGCGTCGGGAAAAAGCCAATCGATCAGGTTCTTGTGCTTAAGTCCTTCCAACATGCCAGTATTTTCTCGAACTTAGATTTATAACAGATATAGTCACCAACAGGACAACTACAAGCAGCATTCCTACATCAGCCTCACCATCTCCATTTTTGCTACCTCAAATTTTACCAGTGTCATCGATTCCTGATGCGAGTATAGATAGTAACATCTGTCTGAGTGATAAGAGTTGTAGCACTATTATAGTGCAGTGCTACTGATAATACAGTAGTGCAGTGCTACTGATAATACAGTAGTGCAGTGCTACTGATAATAGTGCTACAACTCTTATCACTCAGACAGATAAAACTATACTTAAAAAAAGAAAAAAATATGTCTAATGAGTTGGATAACTTATTATTAATGTCAATCATGAAAGATTTGAAATCAACAAATACAGATGAAAAAGATCCTGACACATTATATTGTCTTAGTTTAGTAAACGAGTTTAAAGATTTGACACCTAATAAGAAACGTTTAGCAAAACTTAAAATTTGCGAGCTATTTTGTGCTTTGCAAGAAAATCATCTTTTTAAAATCTTTTGGTTTTAAAAAGATAATCATTTTTGCTATTTTTAACTTTTATTGCTATTTTTGTCTTTTATTTAGTTATTTTCCCTCTATTTTTCTTTTTTCAGATTGCTTTAATAATATTAAATAATAATTTAATAACCTAGTTGTTTTAATAAGTTGGTTTAAGTAAATAATTAAAGTAATTTGAAAAAATCAAGCAGTTAACTGTTTAGAAAAGTTTTTTTAAAAAACAAATCATTAAACTACATTTTAGTTTTGATCGAAGATTTTAGATACACTTGTTACGTGATTGCTTTGCAAAGGAATCTGACCAGGACCAACTGAATAAAATTCTTTAAAGTTTTCTCTTACTTGTTTTCCATCTTTAGAATAATTATTGGAACACGAATGTATTTCTAAAGGCACAATTCCAAAGGCATCTTGGTCCGCATCCAAATTATAATTTTCTTGGTAGAATATTTCTGGAGGACAGTACTGATAAGAGCTGGCGAAGTTTTTATTATTCATTAAGTAATCGTGTAAAACAACAGAAGCTTTAGCAATATTTGTTACTAATTTTTCTGCAGCAATAATTGGTCTGCAGAAAATTCTAAATCTTGAAACTAAAATCCCGAACGTATTTTCGATGACTCGTCTGCATCTAGATAATCTATTGTTGAATATACGTTCTTTCATCCCCAACGATTCTTTAGGATAGGGCTTCATTAAGTTTGTTTTTAAAAGAAAGGCTGCATCTCCAACAAATACATAAGGGTATTTAACATCACTATTCCACTTTTTCTCGGGACTTGGAATGCCTAATTTATTTTCGTTAATTGCAATACCAAGATTACAGCTTGAATAAACCCCTTCGTCACTATTTCGTCCAGAATCTCCTATATCAACCATTGTAAACTGATAATTTGCATTACATATTGCCATTAAAACTAACAAATGCATCTTTTTGTAGTTATAAACATAGATCCAGATCTTGGAGGTGCTTGCATAACAATATGCTCACCGTCGATTGCACCCAGACAGTGATTAAATTGCCATTTAGTCTCAAAATCTTTTGCAGTTTTTTCCCATTGTTGCTCCGAGGAAGGACATATTAACTATTCAGGCATTAAAACGTTCCATAAAACATTGGTTGTTTCATTAATAGTTCGACCAATGCAAGTTGGGCTAATGTGAAAACTTGAAGCTATTGTTTTCTGAGCATCCCCGGTAAAAAGATATCGTAATGTTACACTTAAACGCTCGCTTGGTTCGATAGGCTCACGTTTTTTAGAGAATTTGATTATATAAGGTGCAATTTTCTTGAGGAGATTTTCATACATAGTTGGACACATTCTAAAATATTTATTAAACAAAAAATGATCATGCAACTTCATGTCTTTTATCAATTTGTGATATTCGCCCTTCTCTTTCCTTTATAAATTTTATGAATCCAGAACCTTTTTTTTCGAATATTCCTTAGATAACGGTTTCGAAACAGAATAATTTTTTTCGTTGTAGTACTTATACGCGTCATGTTTGTTTACTTTTGTTTTACTATCTCGGAAAGTGCGAAAATTAAGTGGACATTAATCTTCGAAATTTTTCCATTGAAGGAAACTGAAAAATTTCTGTTCCCTTCTGCAGAAAATTTCCAATAAGTGGAAATCCGCCTTTGGAGGTTCCTCTTTGGATTCTAAATTTATGACGGATCCTAATATTGTTGAATTTTTTTTCTTCTAAACTATATCAACCTGGTACTCAAAAGAAGCAGAATAATACAGAATAATAATTATTTTGAATATAGTATTTGTTTTTATTCATAACTAAAGAGAAAAAAATCATGCCGTTTTTTTCCTTAAAAAACCCCCGTCTTCATCAAAACGGGGGTTTTAAGGTATATTTTTGCATATATTTTTTTCACTAAAAAATTTTTTTAAATAAAATTATTATTGATAAAACAAGCATTGAATCCAAGGTTGATATAGTTTAGAAAAAAAAAAATTCAAAAATATTAGGATCTGTCAAGGATTTAGAATCCAAAGAGGAACCTCAAGATCTCATCAAAATCAAAAAATATTTTTTTACTTTCATCTTATAATTAATAGACATTGATTCGTGTCTCAGAAATATTGATTTTTAAACTTTTTTTTTTTGCTATGAAAATCGATCCACCCTAATATTTAAAAGCTTTTTTAAATTTAAAACATTGTTGTCATGACAGCGCACATAGAAAATCTAATAAAACTTCTTATAACCTGTATTTACACAAGCGAGAGTATCTATCATAATCAGCAGAATTTATTTTTGTTACATGTTTCAAACGCTGTGATGGGCATTCTATACTTTGCTTGTTAACATATAAGTCATAAGCTTCTTGTTTGTTATATAAAATACTTTCAGTGGTACCTAAAAAAAAAAAAAGAAAAAAAAAATACAAAATATAAATTAGCAAATAAAATACAAAAAATAAATTAATTTAAACATTTACATAGTTGATTAATAGTAACATATTAACAGAGGAAAAGAACTTTAGCTAGACATCCAAAAGGGCTCTTTATATTATTTCATGTACAAGCCTAATAACAAAATTTGCTTCTTTTTAATTTTTTTTGTAACTAGATCATTTTTCAAAAATAAATAGTTAGGAATTCGTAACCTTATACTTAATTATATAACTATAATTAAGTATAAGGTTACAATTTCCTAAATATTTTTTCAAAAAAAAAAAAGTTACAAAGAATAATAAAAAACTTGCAAGTATTTTTTTGCCATAGTAAAAGTCCTTTATATCATAATAGTATTTACCTAATCCCAAACCCTCTGTTGTATTGAAGCAGATAATTATTTCAATATGATGTCAATATTGCGTATGACTAAAAATATATGTTCCCCTTAATTTTAAGTTTTCCTTTAGATAAAATAACTTTTTTAATGCACATTCAAAATCTATTGAGCATTGTGGCTGAGTACTGCTTACATAAGTAACTTTTTTAAAATACTTTAGTTCAGGTCAGGTTGAAGATCATCATGGTCATAGCACTGTTAACATGTAATCCAATTCAACCTCCCACATTTTCTGCTACCTTGTAGGATTCGCTTTTCAAGGCAAAGGCTAGGAGAAGTTAACTCTAATTAAAAAACCCCTGTCTTGGGAGGTCATGGCAAAATAAAGACTAGAGATGGCGTCTTGATAAAAATAGTCACCTTGGATTATTAACTATATCTAGTTACTGACTTATAGAAGGTCTCCTAGACAAAGATTTTAGAGGACAGTAGAAAACTTCAGTTGCCCAGCCTTGCAGCCTTTTTACACCTACAAGGCTAGTGTAGATGTAAACCTGTGTTACATTGTTTCCTACTTAGAATGATGAAAGCTAGACCTTCGAAACTATACTCATAGATTTTCACTCTTTTTTTTTTTTGCTTGCAGTTTAATGAGGCCTATTAGAAGTAAATTTTCCTGAACGCTTTAAACCCATTGCTAAAATTTTGAGTTAATTCGATACATTTTAAGTTAATTTTCAAAAACTGAGGTAATTGCATAGCTCATTGCTTAGGGTTCTGTGCTCTATCTATGATTGAGTCAAGTCATGGCTTGGAACACTCATTCTAAGCTGACTCATTAACAGTTTCAATGAAAATGCTTTAGATGAAGACGGCAAAACAAGGGCTATTACTCTTGACATATCAAAGACTTTTGATAAAGGCTGGCATGCTGGTCTTCTCCATATGCTTGCTTCATATGGCATATCTAGGAAAGATTTAAAGATTGTTGAAATATTTCTTTCTAGCCAAAGTTTAAAGTTGTCTTAAAAGGCCAGTACCTTTTATTTCTAGTAATATCTGGAGTACTGCAAGGTGACTTAGTTTTGTATAGTTTATATATAGTCTTGCATAGTAGCAAGGTTCCTTAGTCTGGTATAGTTTTCCTCTATATTAATGATCTTCCTGACAATCTTACATCTAAAGTGACTCTATTTGCTGTCAACACAAATATATACTCTAGTCTTGAAAAAAAGTCAAATTTTTGATCGCTTAAAACAAGCAGTTGAATATTAGAGTGATTTATTTTCTAGGACAGCTTGGAACTTGCAGTAACTTGTACATTTGACTTAAACTAAAACTTAGTTATTTACTGCTGACAATTATTAAAATATTGTTGATGAATGGCAACTCCTATATTCCTATATACTAATATTCATATACTGATAAATGGCAACACTACAACCTCTACTTTAGCACTTCTCAGATTATCATTGATGTCCTCTCATAAAAACCATACATAACCTGACAAAGTTGGCATCTGCTGAGGTTGCTCCTCTTTATCGAGCTGCCATTTCATTACTCCAGATTCCATCTTTTACTTTAACCAATCTTTTATTTGCCCCTGTATAAAATACTGCTGTCATAATTGGGCTTGTTCTTCTAATGATGCGTATTATAAATATAACTACCCCTGCTCCATCTGCCAAGCCTCTGTTGGTAGTCAAATTAGTTGGTACTCTTCTCCAAATGGTATTTAGTTCTTGCTTTAGACTTATTCAGACCTAAACTAATTTTTAATCCATCTAAGCCCAAATACATTTGATTGGATTCAAATCTGGTAATCGAACTGGCAAGGGCAACAACTCTATATAAACTTCTTTTATTAATGCTTTAACTGTATGAGCTGTGTGGAGTGGGGCAATGTCTTGTTGAAACTGCCACAATTAGTTTCGATCAATCAGTAGACAGACAGAGCTACTCAGTTTACTGATGGAACCATGCAATTTTCTAGCATCACTATATAGGTGTGTGGAATGATTTGGCCTATAAGATGTTACAAGTGTATTCTACAAATAGAATGCTCAATGTCCTTATAGAACAGAGCAATAATAAATTAGTAAAAACACATCTAATTTTTCAACTTGTTTCACCATCAGTAGATTTATCAGGAAGCTTCCTAATGAACCTATTATATATATATATATATATATATATATATATATATATATATATATTCATATATATATTTATATATATATTTATATATACATATATATATATATATATATATATATATATATATATATATATATATACATATATATATATATATATATATATATATATATATATATATATATATATATATATATATATATATATATATATATATATATATATATATATATATATATATATATATATATATATATATATATATATAAAATAGGTTATAATAGGCACAAATAATAACAGATAATTCACCAGATCTAAAAAAATAATACTTATACACTTTTTTTTAGACCCACAGTTTATTTGCCATTTAATGTACACCTCTGGTCACAACAATGACCAAATTTTTCATAATACAAGTTATGATGCCAAGAATTCTCATGAGAGCAGTACTTTAATGAGTTAGAGATGATCAAATAGACATTTAACAAAGCAACAAGACACATAGGAAACTTGAATAAGATTCCAACAACTTACTCTGATAATCAACATTTTTTGTTCTATTGCTGAATTATTAAATATATATATATATATATATATATATATATATATATATATATATATATATATATATATATATATATATATATATATATATATATATGTATATATATATATATATATATATATATATATATATATGTATATATATATATATATATATATATACATATATATATATATATATATATATATATATATATATATATATATACAGATATATATATATATATATACAGATATATATATATATATATATATATACAGATATATATATATATATATATATATATATATATATATATATATATATATATATATATATATATATATATATATATATATATATACATATATATATCATTTATTATTTAGTCTTCTGCTAACCATTCTCTTCAACACTCTACTTTGCTTTCCAGTAAATTATATAGTGTACAAATTATATAGTGTTTGCTTGCATTTAGAAGTAAATTTGTTTTAAAAAATAAATACTTACAAGCTATAAATGAATCCATATTCTGAAGAGCCAGGAGATTTCCCACATTAACGTAGAATAAATTATTGACAAAATTCCTGTGAAGGTCATATCCATGATTTGCTAGAAGACCAAGACAATATACTAAAACAAACAAATCTTTTTTACATTAACTAATTTAAATTGTTTGCATTTTACTAAATCTTGATAATAATGAATTAAATTTTAATACCTCTATAGCATTGTGCACCAACAGGAGGAGGAGCAAATAACAAAATTCTTTTTTTAAGCAACAAAAATTTCCACAAAACAAATATACTGACTCCAAAGTAAGCAATGAACTGTGAAAAGCAACCAACTGGATGTCTTATCTATAAAAAAAACATTTATAAAAAACGTTTCAAAACAAATATCTTACAGTTATTTTATAAGTAACTTAATTTATGCTTGTTATGTGCTAATACTCCTTCCTGATTGTCAGAACATAAGCAAAACAAAATGTTAACTAATCATAAACTTAAAATAGGGGTAATGGTCACACTAAACTAATTAACCTTTTAAAAATGAAGTTAAAAACAATTTTTTCTAATAACCATTGAAAACCAAGATGCTTTGCTTTTACCAGTACCATCACTACTACCACTACCAACACTACTACCAGTACCACCACATCTACCAGTACCATCACTAATAATAATGTTAAAATAATGTTAAATACTTTTCCAGTCAAGTATTTTGTATTTGTAATCTAAATTTTAGATGTTTTCTTTTCAATGTCTTTCAAAAACAAAATTTTTTTATTAAAAAAAAAAGATTAATAATTTATTAAGTTGATTATTATTAAGCGTTGATTATATATTGTAATTCTATAAAGAAAAATGCAAGAATGTTTCATAAAATTTTTATGTCACAACTTATAATTTAAGTGATGTATTGGCCTACGATTTAGGTGTTTTTAATTGATATTTATGGTTAATGCATTTATGCAGTTTTTAATGTCAATTTTTGAGTGTTGTAATTCAATATGAAGTTATTGTTAGAATGGAGAGTTTGATTTAGTTTTTTATTGTTGCCACCCCTGCAGGTGGCCACAATATAACCTGCAGACTGCATCCGGACCTCAGTGACCATTTGTCAGGCCCATCAATTAGATAAATTATAATATAGCCAACAGAGATCAATTTAAAAAAAAATTAATTTAAAAAGAAAAAAACGTTTACAAATTTTTTACAAAAATATTTACACTTCACTGTCTTTAGAATAACTCCGAATTTTGAAAATTTATTTGTATTTTTCTAAAAATTGTGAACTTAGTCAAAATGACATTTTCAAAACAACAAAAAATTGACAAGGAATGTCGAGTATTTAATAGTGAATGGCAAACAAAAATACTTTTTTGGTGAATTTAATTCGGTGCAAGTATGTTTAATATATAATGAATCTGTTTGAGCAAAGAACATAATTTAAGGAGACACTATGATTCATAACATTCAAAAACCAATTTGTCAATGAGGTACCTAAAGTTTGTCAACAAAGTATCAAAAGTTTGTCAACAAGGTATCAAAAGTTTGTCAACAAGGTACCGAAAGATAATATAAAAAAAAATTAAAATATAAGTTTTTTTAAATTTTATTTTAACTCACCTCCCTAAGGCTATGAAGGCCATTACAGTAAAGGAGACTATTTTAGTTGTGGTTACAACCCTCTCTTAACTCTTTAACTCTAAAATATGAAACTTGACAAACAAGGTCATTGTGCAGAGAAAAATGAGCGCTTTACTACCAGAGACATGATGGGGATCTAACTTCTTGCTTATGAAGTAAGCACTCTATCATTACACCAATAAAAATAGTTGAAAAATAAGATTTAAAAAAAGTGGAAATTCCAAAAACAAAAATGCTGTTGTTGCAAGCTATGCAGTTTGTCTTTTTATAGCTGAAAATTGTTAACCAATGATGAGAAAATTATTAAGAAATCTCTTGAAATTTTGTTCAAAAACATTGGCCCTGAAAAATTAAAATTTTTAAATAATATCTACCTCTCAAGACAAACAATTACATGAAGAACAGGTGATATTGCTGATGATCTGAGTTTGTGATTGAATGACAGAATAAAAGAATTTCTGTATATCACAAACTGCTCAATAGACTATTTGTGATATTAAGATTTTTGAGAAGCTTTTTGATGTCTATATTATTGATGTTACATTGATGATATTAGGGCAGATCAATTTTTAACTTTTTTTGGAAAATGGGCATTGGACTAGTTGAGATAAGTGCAATTTAATACCATTAAAAATGTTATTAAAATTTTAGCTTCCCATTTTCCACCAATATTTAAGGCAATTTTTATCTGAAGAATATAGTCCACCTTGATCTCAAAAGATGGGAAATCTAATGCTAATTTCAAAAAAACTAGGCTTATGGTTTAAAAAAGCTATAGAAAAAAAAAAAACGCTAAAAAAAATTTTCTATTTTTCATTATTTCTATTAAAATCTCAAAAAGATTATTTTAATATTACAAAGCCTAAACTATTAGTTTTTAATATAAGCTTGTTAGTTTTAATATAAACTTGTAATAAATGCTTGACTTGAATACCAAAGCACTGGCAGAGGGGTTAAAAACAAAGTAATACTTGAAACACTTGACTTGAATACCAAAGCACTAGCAGAGGGGTTTAAAACAATGTAATACTTGAAACGCTTGACTTGAATACTAAAGCACTGGCAGAGAGGTTAAAAACAATGTAACACTCGAAACGCTTGACATGAATACCAAAGCACTGGCAGAGGGGTTAAAAACAATGTAATACTTGAGATGCTTGACTTAAATACCAAAGCACTGGCAGAGGGGTTAAATATAGATGTTATTTTTATAGATTTTGCAAAAGCTTTTAAATTCAGTTCACACGTAGAGCTATTGATGAAACTAGAAGCAATCAGAATTCAAAGTAAACTATAAAATAGGAGCAATAGTTTTCTTAGCAATAGAACACAGTAATTTAAAATTTTCTTAGCAATAGAACACAGTGATTAAAAGAAAATATATCTGAACTTAAAAAGTTCCCCTCTGTACTAGGCCCACTACAATTTATTATATACATAAATGATTTATATGTTAATCTAAAAAATGTTGTAAAGCTCTTTGCTGATGATAAAAAAGTGATTAGATATAGGTGATAAAGAATCAAGAGGACAATAAAAATCTTCAAAACAATATAGATGAACTAAGTAACTGGAAACTACACATTAACAAGGCATTAAATAAAGCAAACAATCAACTTGAATTGATTAAACAGTTTTTTAAATATTTAAATGAAACATCAGGAATTTTTTTATACAAAACTTTAGTATAATCTCATCTTGAAAATAGTGCAGTAATATGGAACTCTTTAAGAAAAGATGAAATTAATAAAATCAAAAAAATACCACATGAAGTGACAAAAATGAGGAATTTAAAGGGTTTACCATATGAAAAATAGATGAATTATCTAAAAAGTGAAACATTAGAAAATAGAAGAACAAGATTAGATCCTATTCAAATGTTTAAAATATTTAAATATTTAATAAAATAAATTTTCTCAACCCTATCAATCATATGGTAACAAGGACTAGAATTAGAGGAGAAATTTTGAACAAAGGCTCAAAGAATCAAATAATCAGACACAACTTCTTCTCAGAGTATTGAATTATCAGAACAATTTGCCACAAGAAAAAAGAAACAGCAAAATTATGAATCTACATAAACAAAATTCAATTGAATAAAAAAAAAAAATTTTTTTTGCTTAGTAAAACGTGTTATAGAATGAAATTCTACAAGATTTTACTCTCAACTCAATGAGTTACACTATATATATATTATATATATATATATATATATATATATATATATATATATATATATATATATATATATATATATATATAAACATTATATATATATATATATATATATTATATATATATATATATATATTATATAAATATTATATATATATTATATATATTATATATATATATTATATATAATTATAATATATATATATTCATATTATATATATTATATATATATATATATATATATATATATATATATATATATATATATATATATATATATATATATATATATATATATATATATATCAAGGCATCCCAAAAAACACATGCTGTTTTTTGTCTTGTATGTCCATTAGGGTGTTTCCTATTTTATCAATTTTTGAAATTGAACTTGCGAATTGATTTATAAATTGACCATTTATGAAAATTAGTTTGAGCAAAAAAAAAATATATATATAATTTTTAGGGTCCCCACCAGTTCAATTTTGGGACAAAAATGTTGGGTGTTTTAAATGCCTGGCGGGGATCTTAAAATTTATCCTATAAAATTTTTTATTCTTTTAAATATTAGATATTGGATTGATTATTAATCACATTAATAGAGCATGTTGAAAAGATTAAGAAATTAATCTACAGAATCTTCTGAAATTGGTGAAAAATCAAAACTTTCCTTCACAAAAACCTATTTTATCACTTGGTAGTGTATAAAAAACATTTTTGATTTTTTAATAAACTGTTTCCAGACACGGAAAAACTATAAAGCATATAATCTGTGGTTCAAACCCCACCTCTGGGCAAGTTTTGCGACATTGGTTGGGAAGGAGGCGTGAACTTCCTGTTAAATGCTCTTCCGCGGTGCTCTGTGATAAGACCGTAAGGACTTCTTGGGGCACCTTAATAAGCTTAAAAAAAAAAAAAAACCTGATAGAAAACTTACATCAAATAACTTTTGCAACAAATGTTTTCAACTTTCAGTTTAAAAGATCTTGTAACATGTTAACTCAGTCCAAAAAGTTTATTGGTTGTACTGATGGGCCTGATTATTATTGAACAACAAAACAAATATGCAATATGATGAATAGTTATAAATGTGTCATTATTATTTTAACTTCATTTAATGTATTATAATTTTGTCAGGGATAATATCACTTGTTCGATCAGGGATAATATCATTTGTTCGATCATGGTTGGCAGACATTAAAAAAAAGTAAGAGTAAGGCCTCTAAAGCAGAAAGAAAGAATTCAAAAAGAAGGGGGGGGGCAGGTTTTATGGATTGGTAAAGATAATATTAAGGAAACCTTAAAAAAAACAAGCCTTGATAAACTTTCATATTATGCTGATATCAAATTTTTAAAAGACCAAAAGTCCGGTCGCCTTATGACTTTGGGGAGCAAAGACATGAGATATAAGACTGTAAACAAAGAAAAGAAGCAGTTAAAAAATTGTAATATTAAATAATTACTCAAAGTAAACAAACCAACTACAGAGCTAAAGCTTTTCTGAGACGTAAGTGATATTAGTACAGAATCAGATATTTCTATTGATTAAGCGCAACCCAGCCCAAGTAATCAAAAACTAGTGTCAGGGAAGGGTTTTGTCAAATATATTGCCATGACATTAGTATCAAAAAATATTTCATCAAGAGATCTAATGGATGTATGTACGGATTAATTCGTAAGTTCAGACGTAAATGTGGCTGATTTTTCATTGTCTCATTCAACTATTAGCGAGCTCAAAAAAAATCTATTTGGGAAAATGCTAAACAATATAAGAAAAATGTAGAAATTGCTACAGGTAAAGCTATTTTTCCCATATTAGCACATTTTGATGAGAAATTTATCGAAGATATCACCAAAGGTAAAAAATCAAAAAGAGATCAATTTGCAGAAGCGAAGAGATTACAAAGAGCTATTGAAACTGACTCTTGAGTACTTATGCCCTGAAGGAGTTTTTCAAACTCAAGCTCCAGGGTTCATGCCGCATGCACATTTTATGTCAAAAGCTATTTATTATCTCAAGATTCAGATTGCAACTTTCTTATAAATTGAGCGATAATCAAAAGAAAGAAGTGCAGTCTACGGTCGAGTTAATCTCAATCTTTTATTCCGTCTGGTTTTTAACCTTACACTGCGCATTACCAAGATATAAAAACCTATTGGCAAACAACAAAATATAGAGAATACGAAGAATTCCATTTTAAATTGTTTCAGAATTCTGAAACAATTTAAAATGGAATTTATGCCACATTAGTTTCAATGGAATCACATTTATGGTACCTTGATGAAACCTTGGTTCCACTTGCTCTATTAGATCAAGAAATTTCTGCTGCAGAGAGAGAGAAAATGTTTCAAAAATGCTCTTCTCAAAACCAGTTTCTGAATTTTTTTGGCATTCCAAGAAATTAAATTTATTTAAGCTCTTAACTTTAAGCTAGAAAAACCACCAAGTATTGCACAGTTAGTTGGAGAAAACTCTTAGTTAAAACCTCACTAAACTGAATGATACACTTTGACTAAACAGCCCGGCAACACTATGGTAATATATTAACCAGTTTAAGATCTTTTCCCAATTTGTCTCCAACCTTGCAGTGGTTAATGACGTTTCTGAAAGATCTATTAAAGTTGTATCAGACTTTGTAAACAATATTCACAATGAAGACGATCGTAAGAAGTTACTACTTGCTATTCACCAAATAATATAGTTTTTAAATGAGTTTATAAATATAGCTTTTAACAAAGTTTCTAAATGTTTACTTAATGATTAAATATTGAATAGTAAATAAAATCTTTAATTTAAGAATACTTGAACATTTAATGCTATTTTTTTTTGCTTTTTAACAAAAACAACTATGCAACAATACCACGAAAATCATTTAAAGTTGAAAAGCTACCATATATTTGCTAATCTTGAGGCAACAAAACTATTAACAACAATAGCACTTTTAACCATTATTAGGTTATTAAGGTTAGCGTAAGGGTCAAAATTTAAAAAGATCAAAAAATTAAAAAAAAAAAAAAATTTAAATTAAAAATAAATTAAAATTAAATCAACTAAACAAAATTAATTAAGAAAATAAATTAAAAATTTAAATCAATAAAAAATTTTCTTTTATAAAAGACCTATATAAACCTCATTTGACAATATTATAAAAACTATCCAGTTTATAGTTTTTTCGTGTCTGAAAACAGTTTATTAAAAAATCAAAAACATTTTTTATATTCCACCAAGTGATAATTCCAATTTCAGAAGATTCTGCAAATAATTTCTTAATTTTTTCAACATGCTCCTTTTATGTGATTAATATTCAATCCAACATCCAATATTTAAAAGAATAAAAAATTTTATAGGATAAATTTTAAGGTCCCTGCCAGGCGTTCAAAACGCCCAACATTTTTGGCCTAAAATCGAACCCTAAAAATTATTATTGCTTTTTTTTTTGCTCAAACTTATTTTCATATAAATGGTCAATTTATAAATCGATTTGAGAGTTCAATTTCAAAAATTGATAAAATATAAAACACCCTAATGACCACGCATGAGTATTTTATTTTAGACAACTTGGTTATGACTGCTTGCAATATATTAAATTTTTTCAGTTTAAGTTTCAAAAACAAAGAACACAAAATTAACAAAATAGGAAATTAATATAAATTTAAATAGAAAAAAAAAAAAAAAAAAAAAAAAATCTAAATAATTTGTGTACTGTTTTTATTTCTTTAGAGTGGTTGCTATTTTCAGCAATAAAGTTTCATAAGGAAAAAAAAAAAAAAAAAAAAAAAGAATGTTTTGTCCTATATTTTATTTGTTTTTTTATTCAAAGAGGAAAGTGAAAATATAAATTGCTATCTGTTTGCAAGATATATTTGTATAATTTTAATGTAACAAGTATATATTGCCCCTATATGAAAACGTCTATGTAATGCATGCCTATACTTTTATGTATAATTTTTTTTAGTATATGATTATATTTATTTGTTTATAAGTCTACGCACATTTAGCGTATTTGGATGAGGCGTTAACTTCATACACGGTATGATGTATACAATTTTTAAAAATTGTTTTTCTTCAAAATACCGCTAATCATATATTTGCATTGTAACCATTCATCTTTTCTTTTTTGTATATAAAGTATATACATAGTTTTTAAGCTTCAATTAGGCCATTCTGTCTACACATTTTTTACATAGCCTTAATTGTTTCATATTACCTTTCTATTCCTGTAAATTTTTTATACTGGATCTTTTAGTGCTTTGCAAATTTGGATACCTGTTGCTTTTTAATATTCGGCTCAATGCATTTAGTTCTACTTGCCCCCTCTCACTTGGTCAATGATGTTATTGGTGAACAATTATTATTAATAACTTTTATCAGTTGTCATTGAATTATTAATAATAATTGTAAATAATTGTTTACGTATATATCACCAATAATATAGTAAACTAGAAGAGAGGGTAGAGAAATAAAAATTTTTTTTGGGAAGAAGTGGGATTCGAACTACATACTAAATATGAATTTAACACCTTAGGGGTTGTCCATAAATTACAAAATTACAAGATAAAGATGTTACCTGGGAAGGCTTTTATATATATATATATATATATATATATATATATATATATATATATATATATATATATATATATATATATATATATATATATATATATATATATATATATATATATATATATATATATATATCCTTAGAATTAGGAAAAATAAGGTTGGAAAATTATTGCCAATCTGTGTGAGGTCGGAAGAAAAAATGTAAAACAAAAGTTTGACCATAAAACATAGAAACAAGGTCAGTGATTTTTCACCAACTTCAGTTAGGTCAGCATTGCTGAATGCCGACCATAATTCTGAGGGTCGTGTGTATGTGTGTGTGTGTGTGTGTGTGTGTGTGTGTGTGTGTGTGTGTGTGTGTGTGTGTGTGTTTATATATATATATATATATATATATATATATATACACAAGGCTCAATTTAATTTTTTATAAAGTGTCCAAACGTCTGATCAAAACTTCATTGGATCGGATAATGTCCGATCAATTTTTTTAATTACAGTTTTTATGGTTTTATGGAACTGAGTTATGCGATAATCAAAACCTTTGTCATGTTATTTAAATTATTTAACGATAGTTTAGTAAAGTTGTAGTATCTTACCTTATTATTTAGAATAATTCATTGTAGATTTTCCTTTTTTAATTAAATAGTTTCAATTCAATATTATGCGTTCTTTTAAATAGACATAAAATTTCACATTGTAATTGAAAACGCTTATTATTTACTGTCCAAATCCTTACGCTAAGAATTACTTTTAATCATTGGTCTTTTTTAAAGTTTTTATTTTACGCGAAGGCTTTAAATAAATATGTGTAGATTAAATGCTATATTCAAATTTTTTTTAATGTATGTATTTTTTATGATAAATTTAAACATTTTAAACTATTTTTCGATGTCACTCTAAAGGTCTTTAACAGATAATTTTTTTAAGTTACTTTAAATTAAGTTAAATCTTCTAATGATTTGATTGCTTTATTTATTTTGTTTCTATTTTTACAAAGAATTGTTTAAAAGTTTTTTTTTGTAAACTTTACTCACTAATTAAATGATGAAATGAATAAAAATTACAATATTAAAAAGACAACGCTATTTTTTTAAACAATATTTTTTTCCAGCTTTTGTCTATACAAACTAAAAATATTAAATTTTTTTCTTTTCAATAATAAATAAGTTTGTTCATTTATTCAACAATCAATATAAATGCATTTTGCAACAATCAATTTGTTGAACAAATGCATTTTGCAAAACTTTTTTATTAAATGTTTTGAAAGATCAGTTTCAAAATAATTTTTTTCAAATGGAAATAAAAATGTAACAAAATGTCATTTCTACTTCTAGTTTTAGATTTATTGAACTAATAAATTTCTTCTATTTTATTAAATAAATTTCATATACTTTGTTGAACAAATTATAAATTTCTTATTTGTTACCTTTAAAACAGAAAAATGCTTTTTATATTTTACTTCATCATCTGTATCTTTTATCTCAATAAATGCATTATTGCGGTTTGGGCAATTTCGATATGTAAAGTAATACGATATTAAGTCATGGTATTGGTACTGTTTTTCCAAAACATATCTTAAGATAAAAAAATTTTACGCTAATATTAATCATGTTAAAAATATTTATACTAATACTAAATGATAAAATTAATAGTATAAATATTATATTAAAAAATATTTATACCAAACCATAAAATTAATTAGAAATAACTTAAACTATTATTGAAGCATACTTAACTTGAAGTTCCAAAAAATCCTGATGTTCATGTAAAGAAGTATACTTTGTGCATATTATTCCCACAGATTTCATACGAGCACCTCTTTCTTCTGCATTATTAACTGACTTTAAAGCAAAACAACTTAAGCCGTAATGTTCCTGGTGGCGGAAGTATCTAAGGTAAAAATCGTTATTTTACTAGTTTCCAGTTATGAAAAAATATGAAACTATTTAAATACAAAAAAAATTCACGCCATGTCCACTTCTTCCAACCTAAATTATAAGTCATGTCTACTTCTTTCAACCTAAATTATATAGTCTAATACTTTAATGGTGTTTTAAAAATATTTATACAAAACCTTCCCCCCCAATGTAATAATGCAAATTAACTTTTTTATTTTATTTTTAGACACATAGAACTAATTATAAAAACAATTATTGATAACTTGTTTTTTTATTTTCTGAAATTTTATGTAAAAAAAAAATCGGAAAATTCATATATATATATATATATATATATATATATAATATATGTGTATATATATATATGTATATATATATATATGTATGTATATATATATATATATATATATATACATATATATATATATATATATATATATATATATATATATATATATATATATATATATATATATATATATAAATATATATATAAATATATATATAAATATATATATATATATATAAATATATATAAATATATATATATATATATGTATATATATATATATATATATATATATATATATATATAAATAAATATATATAAATATATATATATATATATATATATATATATATATATGTATATATATATATATGTATATATATATATGTATGTATGTATGTATGTATGTATGTATGTATGTATGTATGTATGTATGTATATATATATATATATATGCATGTATGTATATATATATATATATATATATATATATATATATATATATATATATATGTATATATATATATATATGTATATATATATATATATATATATATATATATATATATATATATATATATATATATATATATATATATATGTATGTATATATATATATATATATATATATATATATATATATATATATATATATATAAAATGTATATACATATATGCTGCAGTACCCCCTTGCATGAAAATTCGTTACAGCCTTCAGATATTAATCTTGAATCTGATCTATCCAATTTAAAAGTTTTTAAGTCAGAGACAGTGAAAACCACTGTGAATATTGTGACTCCTAAGTAGCTGCCTTTTTTAATAGAGCTAGCATTTATAACAGAAAGACCATTTCAATTAGGAAAGATACATTTTCTGTGATGACATCTACAGGGCTGCTAAAGCAAGAACAAAGAAAAGAAGTAAAGAAGTCATTATTAGTGCCAGCACTATAAGATGAGTGGATAGAGTATTGCAAACTTTTAATCACAAAGACAACAAAATATTTGATCCAGCAGTTTCACAATTTTTGCAATGGGATGGTTAGATAATGAATAACTTAACTGGTTCAGAAAGAGGTAAAGTCAATCAACTTCTGATTCTGGTTTCTGGACAGAATGTGATAAAACTGTTAGCAGACCCTAGGCTCCAAAATAGCACAGAGGTTTTAATGGAACAAGCAATAACAAAAACCATTTATTAGGCATATCAAAGTTTTACCAACGGTCACAAAAAATTGTAAAATTAAAATAATTTGTAAAATTAGTCTCCTCTACTGTAGAGGAGTCTTTGAGGAATAAAATTTTATTTCTAAAACTTACAGTTAAAAACTATATTCTAAAAACTATATTCTAAAAACTATTTTCTTCTATTAAATCATGTTAAATCATTATAAGAATATATATATGACAGACATTTTGCAGACATTAAACACTTTCAGGTCAGCAGTTAGGTCAGCAATTGACATTATATATATGAACATATATATATATATATATATATATATATATATATATATATATATATATATATATATATATATATATATATATATATATATATATATATATATATATATATATATATATATATATATATAAATATATATATATATATATAAAGCAGATAAACCTTCGGAATTAGGAAAAATGAGGTCAGCAAAAATTTGCCGACCTCAATCTTTTTGAGGTCAGCATCAGATCGGCAAAAATTATTTGATACAAAGGTCTGACCATAAAACATAGAAACGAGGTCGGCAAATTTTTGCAGAAATTAAACACTTTCAGGTCTTCAGTTAGGTCAGCAATGCCGAATGCCGACCCTAATTCCAAGGGTTGATATATATATCAGGGCTCGAATTAATGCAAAAAAATCTAATTGCGAAAAAAAAAAATTTTTTTACACCCCACCCCCCTAATACTTTGCTCCGCTTTGCGGTAATGAGGGGGAGGAGGAGGAGGAGGGGAACGGAAGTTATGTTAGTATATAATTGTAGGTTTTGTATTTAATTGTTCTATTTTTAACATATTATCTCTTATATTTAAATATAATCTTATAATTTTCTTGTTTGGCAGAATTTAAAAGAGCGTAAGTTACTGTTATTATTTACAACATAAGTTATAACTTAAAGTTTAAGTTGCAGTTGTAATAAGCAATAACGTTTTTAATACTATTAAGATATTTCTTCAAGTATATTTTTACTTAACATGATACTTAAAAAAGTAAAAGTAAAAAAGTAGGACAAAAACAACATTATAATATCTAAACCACTTTAACTAGTCAAAGAAAAGTATTTAATACGTTCAGGCTGACATTAAAACACATATTAATTTTAAAAAGTATTTAACTGTTAAAAGCTATAAAACATTAAAACAAACTGCAGAGTTGTTTTAAAAATATAAAGAGCTTAGAATAATGTAAAACAAATATGTGACGCTATTTTATTTTGATTTAAACAGTTTATAAAATAAAACACGTTTAAAATAAAAGGAGGCAAATAAATATAATTGAGCTAGTTAATAAACTAAAATAAAACTTCATATTTGCGCCTATAAACCTACACGAGTTAATAATCTATAGACCAAACGAGTAAGATCAAAAAAGCAAAAAAACATTAGATACCACGTCTTTTATAAATTATTGCTTCCTGATCATACGCATTATTAAAAATTTAAGTTAAGTTTTTCATTCAAAAGGTTTTTAAACTGATGTTTTCATTCAATTTTCTTTTTATTCTAATTGTTTTCCAAAAAAAAGTGAAACAAAAAATTTTGTTTAATAAATCGAATTATATTAAGTATAAGAATATGCTTAAATTATTTTTTTAGAAAATTTTTTTTTCGAACAGAATCAAAATAATTTATTAAATTTAATTTAAATTTTTTATAATTTTTATTTTAACTTTAAATTTGCAATCACTGCTTTGATGTTTGCAATAGAATGTTTCTACTTTTAAAACTATTTTCAAAAAAAATATATATAATTCAAAAGGTTTACAAAATTTACGATTTACGAAAAAAAAAATTTCATCTTCATTCTCTATTGTTTCATCAAACTTTTTTTAAATTTTAAAACTTTTTTTAAATTTTAAAATTTTTTTTCAATTTCAAATTTCAATCACAAAACTATTTGAATAAGTGAATTTTAAGGCTAAAGTTCTCTTGTTCAAATAGATTTATTTTAAAATAAAATTCCTGAAAAGTGCATTTATGTACCTCATACATAAATACGCAGTAAAAAAGTACTTTACTTCCGCTTTGGTCGATTTCCAGTTTTGTTAATTGCTAGTATTTATTTAATAATAATAGGAAGAATGAGTGCTCCTAAAATTAATAGATTCAATATGAATAAAAGAGAGTCAAAGTTTTCACAGTATTTGGGTAGAAATAATGATCTTAATTCTTCAGAAGTGCCTACAATTAGAGATATCCTGAGAAAGAGTCTTTTAATACAAGAATGTTTGCTCATTGAAAAAGATATTGACAAGTATGTAATAAAATTCAAATTTAAAGATTGCAGAAATATTGTTTATATTTACTTGTATTCACTTTGTTTTATTTTAAGGAGGCTAACTTCTTTAAGAGAACATAGTGTACAATTAACAGACATGATTCTTCAACAGTGGAAAAGATCGATTGCTCTTTTCAAGTTTCCTGTGGTAATAAACAAAATATCTTTGGCACAGAAAATAGAATTAGCCTGGAATAAGCTTAGTATTATTTCTAGAGGAAAAGCAGCCGAAAAAATTCTTTCTACCTGGGAAATCAAATTAGATCAATTGCTTGACATTACATCTTGTAAGGTGGTCAAAATTAAATAGTTGTCTAGATTTTACACATATTCAGTGTTCCTGTCCGAGGGTAAAAAAGATTTCAAAAAGTGAACTTGTTTGGTTAAAAGCAGTAAGAGAAAAAACTAGGTAACTATTAAAATATCAAATGACTTGGAAACAGCTCAACAGGTTTCTTTAGAAAAGAGGAAGCTAAAAAAAAAGTTAAATCTAGAAAAAAAAAATTAGAAAAAAAGAAGAGGAAGAAACTTCAAAGAATAAAGACCATGTTGAGTCATTCCTAAGTGATGATACATCAAATAGAATAGAAATGAAAGATGAACCTGCTTCAGCAGATAACTGGAAACTAAATTTTATGTCTATTAGTAATACTGTTGAAGCTTCTTTGAGATTTCACCAGCTGCAACATCAGCAATAGTTTCAGCTTTTCTTCAAGACCTTATTCTAGGTAACTTTTTAACACCTGAAATGTCCTATTTGGCTGTAGATCCTAAGAAAGTTTTTAGAGCTAGAAAAGCAGTAATGACTAAAGCAAAGACATCTGCAGGCTTGGACAGGAATGGCATGCGATCGAGCGCTATTGTTGACTACGCAAATGGTTTTATTTTTTGACAACTTGACCACAATTTTTTTATATGTTTTGATGATTTAAACATTTCAGAAATGCGCTGAATGTAGAAACGCTAAGCTAAACTATTTTAAAAAAAATTCCTAACAAAAAAAGAAAAGAAAAAAAATTTATATAAAGCACTAAAATTATATAAACACTAAAATAAAAATAAAAAATTAAACTCGAAGCGAAACATTTTGTTATGTATTTAATTGAAATAAATGTTATCAAAACTTATTTTTATAAACGTTTTATTAATGTTATGCAAAACGCTTTTAAATTAAGTAATAAATTACTTCTAGTGAT